GACAAGTTGATGACAAGGAGTCACATTATGGCCAATGGGTGCTCTCTATGCATGAATGCTGATGAATCGTGCAATCATCTTCTTCTTTGGTGTTCGGTGACGTCTACTTTATAGTTTATGGTTTATAGTCGATTGGGTACAAATTGGGTGATTAGGGGTTCGGTGAAGGATGAATTGTGGGCTTGGGGTGGGATTAGAAGAAGTATTAAGTTTATTAGAATGATTCCTTTGTCTATTTTTTAGGTTGCATGTAAAGAGAGAACCAATACAGTTTTCAATGGGTGTGTGAGGGATATTGGTAAAATTAGAGATAAATGATTGCATACTTTTGGGATCCTAGTTCCGGCTCATGACATGTATGGGTGGAACGATTTTGGGAGGGTTATTGATGTACTAACCAATTAGTAAATTCTTTGTATAGAGGCGGCACTCTCTTGGCATTATATACGTAATATACATGTTTTTTATCTTAAAAAAAAAAAAAAAATCTTCTCACTTGGACAAAAAGATTCAGCTTCCTACATCTGGACATGGAAGAGTGACTTCCTTTGGATAAACATCATCACATGTAGTTTTGCATATATTGAACCTATCCGATCCAATATCTTAAAGACTTAACCAGACATCATAAATCCCCCAAAAAGATCACTTACTCTATCTAATACATCATTATCCTTCTCTCATCAATTGATACAAAATTTTGTTATTTTAGTGTTAAGCCCGAATTTCATCCAAAAGCAACCTTCATCTATTTTCAAACTTGAATCAAAATTTGAATCAATATCATGGTCAGAACATGATAACTCACCCACTCCTATAGGTAGAAGTTCAGAAGAAGGAGCCAATGTGGACATTGCTCTTGGATTATAGGAGCCCTACTTCCCATTGTATTGTCACTCAGTTCCTTGTCCAATAAAAAAGGAAGCCTTACTTCAGCTACCATTTCAATTTCTAAATGATCGCTTCACATGTTAAACCCAAAGCTCTTGGATTTTTCTTAATGTTCTCACTCACTGGAATTAGTTATTTTCAAGATGAGAATGATATAGAACTGTCTAAGAAGCATTAAGAGTCTAATTCGGAAACTTTTTTCCATTCTCTAGGAGATTTGAGCATGATTTTACTAGTACTTATATAAACTATTATTATTACCTGTGTTGGAATATTTTTTTTTTCTAATCCAGTGTTATATTATATCTTCTTATTACCTCGCTTATTTCCCATTTCCATAACCCTAATATTCCTCTTGCCTCCTACTTGATCCCTTTTCCTCTACATTTTCCTTAAATCCTATTATCTCTCTTGTAGTATTATTTCATCCTACATCAAGAATAGATGTCAAGCAAATGATTTAATGACCCAACAATTAGCCTATAATTATGGGTTTCAAATATGAAGATTCTCAGGAAATATGTAGAGAAGAAAAAATGGATAAGTGCTTAATAGAATTATATAAGTAAAGATTGAGTGTACCTGAAGATTCAAATTTTGAAGGTTATGCATCAAACCAAGCTCAAGAGAACCCAAAGATGTCAACCGATTATTTGACAAGTCCAAGTTCTCCAATCTTTGTAGGGCAGTCAGACCCGAAGGTAGTTCCATCAATTTATTATTTGCAACTTTCAGTGATATCAAGAACTTCAAATAACTTATTTCAGTTGGCAAGCTCTTTATTTTATTAAATGAAAGGTCCAAATATTCCAAACTCTTTACACAGCCAATTTCTGGAGGAACAAATCTGAAAATATATGTAAATATATATATCAATATTAAGCTTCTCAAAGGCCTCGTAAACAAACATATTAAGCTTTATTTACGTGACTAACATTCAACAACTTCAAGTGAATTGGAAATTCATATTCTCCTAAAACAAAATAAAGAGAAACAGATCAACAAAGTTTTAATCACATGCTTCAAACTATTAAATAATATGGCAAATTACCAAATTAATTTTTTAAATTTGGTACTTGATACAGTTTAGTCTTTAATATTTTTCCATTACAATTTGATCTTGAACACTTTATATCTACTCCAAGAGTGCAGTTTTTAGTCCATTTCCTAATGGAAAAAATTTTCAAAAAAAAAATTTATTTTGGATTTTAAAATAATTAAGAAAATCAAAAATTAAAAAAATATGTGTTAATTAACACCACCTCTCTCTCCTTTCTTTTTTGTTTGATAAGCATAATAATAAATTAACTAATTAAATGAATTAAATAAAAAATAAAGGAAAGAGAGAAGTTGTTGTCAATCAACATAAATTTTCTTTTTTTAAAAAAATTAAACTTTTTAATTATTCTAAAATTCGAAATAAGTTATTTTTAAAGCATCAAATATAGGCTAACCATTTTAAACTTTTTTCCACTAGAAAATAGATAGACATTGGATATCTGAAACATCTGCAAAATGTTGGAATAAAAATTATAACGGAAAAAACATCGGGGACTAAAATATTACAAGTGCCAAACTTCAAGGACTGATTTAGCAATTTGCCCTAAATAATACAACTAGTGTCAATGCGCAACAGTCTCAGCATGCCAACAATGTTAGGAAAAGTTACCAAAAGAATTGCTGAGTTCATTGTCTTCAAGTGTGGAAAGGAGAGGAATAGTAGCAGCCATAAGAGGTTAGAACTTGGAACATTAAATATATATTCGACCATAAAAAGTATAGTCATAGAAATTGTTTTCACCAGCATAATCACTTCAAAATTAGTAATCATTTGGAATATATTCTACAAATTTTCATACTTCCTTCTTCCTGCGTTTAAGTTCCTGGTAGATAGTTAGGACCAAGTTTCTGCACTTAAGAATCTTGAAGATAGAGAAACTTGTAATAAACAGTTTAGGAGCCGCACACTGAGAGCTCATTCTGCAACTATATTAATGCCCAAAAAATACCAGATATTTTTTATTAGTCTTTACCTCTTCTCCAATAAACCTGCTAAAATTGGCAATCACATTTTTGTGCAAATAACAAGATATATTGTCTGTCTAATTGACCTAGCTACTGAATCATGCAACTATTACGACCCTAGCTAGTCTGAGCGTTCACAAATAAATTATAAAAGAATATAAATAAAACAAATAACTTCCTACCAATCTAAATTGATCCTGCAAAGTAGAGTAGCATGCATTTGCCCAAATTTAGTCATTTACCCCAAATTTTTTCTATGAATCATCAAATATAAGCACAATTATCCACTTTGCGAAGAGTCTAATTAACACTGATACAGAAACAGACAACTTGACAAACAAAAAATTACATATAGATAGAATCAAGCCTAACCAACTGCTACATGTCGGCATATTCTACCTACACAAACCATTAAAAGGTTACTAACTCCTCCCATAATCTTCTGCATCTCAACTACCTAATCAGTTGTGACCAATTCTTCCACATTAAACATTTCAAGACAACATAATATTCCACAGAGAAACAGTTAATCACAATTGTCCAATCAGAACCAAATTCTATTTCTAAAAAATGTTCTGCAGTTAATATGGTGTCAGGTGATAGATTTGCAATTACATGTATAAGCACATATTTCCTATGTACTTATGCAAAGGGCTTGGAAAAAAAAATTCCTCCAAATCAAGTGCAGTTTTTTCAGAAAGCAGACCAAAAAAAATTACGAGATAAAGGCAAGGGCATACGCTATTTCTACCATTCATTGTTTTCTGAATATTTCAAAATAAACACAATTTAAGATCAAAATTTTGGGACTTATACTATGGTTAACTCTACTGAGCCAAAGAATTGTACTAATAAGCTCCATGCTTTAGAAAGTTCAGGTCGTTATGTATTCCTGGAATTAAAAAGACAACTGAAGTTCAGAGCACCCAACAGCTTAAAAACAAGAATACTCGCCTTATAGAGAAGTGACAAACAGAAAGTTTGGTCAAGCACTTTAGCGCAGCAATCTCGCTCAACATTTTCAAAACCGAAGGCCGATGAGGGACCTTAGTCAATTCCAGCTCCTTCAAGCCCTCCAATTTGGTCAAAGATAACCCACTATTGAACCCCGGCGAGGATACTTTCACCTGCAGACACTCCAACCTCCCCAAATTTCCCAACTCCGCTGGCAATAAATTAATCTCATTCCCAAAGAACTTCAAAGTCTTCAATCTTGAAAGCCTTCCTACTGCTTTCGGTATCAAATTGAACACATTCCTATAAAGGTACAACCCCTCCACCGAATCATCTGCCTTGTCCAACAACGAGAATTCAAGATTTTGATTCAAGACATCAATGACGGGTTCATCCTCGGGTTTGCCGTCACCATTGTGGCTATCATCACCGCAACTGCCTGTGTTGGTTTCTTGGTCGTTGCTGTCATCAATTGAAGCAGTAGCATTTACAGTTGTGCGCGATTCTTGGCGGTTATCGAGAGATACGGGGCCTGCTTCGAGGGAATTTGAAACCTGCATGGGGCGTTCAATCGAAGTGATTGAGAAGGATTCTGAAAAGATAGGGAGCTATTTAGAAATTGATAGGAAATCCGGGGCTTAGGGCAAGCCGTGAATCCGTTCGGGGGAAGGAAAATAAAGCTAACGCATAAAGAATGAAGGAGAATTAGAGGGAAAAGTGAAGAAAATTTGAGGAGCGGACAGGGGGCGGAGAGAGAGAGGCCGCTCCTGTGCTAGAACCTAAAAGCGAGAGAAGAAACCCTAGAATCCAGACGAAGCGTGTAGTTCAGTTATTAGGGCGGAAGTTCTGGCATTATAATATATAATATTTTATATAAACGGAGAAGGAAAATAAAATAGGCTACCAAAAGTTTGAAAATTTTGATTTTCTTTGGAGCAATTCACCTTTTTTAGCAATGGTTAAATGTCAAAAATACCCTTCTCTTTGCCCCGACGACGAGTAGTCAAATATAGAGGCTGGTCAAAACTCAAAGAACGACTTTTTCTTGTGAGGGTGAGTGAACTTTCTCTGCGATTGTTCTGGTTTAATCTTAAATTTCATACATTAAACTAGTATACTAATATTTGACAAACATGTACGAATTAATAATATATTGGTTATATGTTTTCTGACAAGTAAAATAGAAAGGAGCTTTGGAAGTAAATTAAATGAAAATAGAATAAGATTTCAATGGAATGTTATCCGCGAGTAAATGATTTTAGTAAAAAAAAAAAAAAACTCATTTTCTTTGATGTAATTAATTAATTATATTGCTAAAAATTCTTAAACAATGTATATAATAAATATTTTATGTGTGTTTTAGCTGTAGTTTATTTATGGGTCTATAATGTCAAAACACTTTATAAAAAAATAAAAATTATATTCTGTCAAAACTAAAACTAAAACTAAAAATTTATTTTTAAAATTTTACTCACATAAATTTATTAATAATAAATATACCTTTATTATTTTATATCCCATATTTTCCTATTTGACCTCTGCAAATGGAGGCCTGCAATCATCGCCAATTGTTGGAGTTGGTTGTGGGAGAGGTGGGTATGAAATGGGGTGTCCATTATGGTGGAATTTGAGCGTACACTCTCTCTCTCTCTAGTTTTTTTTGCAGTTATGAAGAGCATGTAAAGATGGTTGTTCATTTACAATTCTATTTTTTAGCCCACATCCCTTATGGGACAAGACTGAGAGTCCTCCTTTTGTAATCAATCATTCCATAAAAGATAAAAACATTTGCCCCTTTATGCTTTGTTATCTCGTCTCTCTATTTCACTTACTCTCTTAAAAAAATAATAGTCAGTAGCGTCCGATGATATCGGCTATGTTAACTTCATTTTATTATTTATTTAATAACTATTATTAAAAATTATAATGACATATTGTATTAGTAAATCATTTAAAATTAAATTTTATATAAAGAGATCGAATTTTAAGTGAGATAACTTGTGATTTTTTTTCGATACAAAGTAGAAAAAAAAAATATGACCTAGATATTACACATTCTAGGTCAAGAAACACCAATGAAATTTTTTTTTAATAAAGTTAATGAGCTCAGCAAATGGTTGACTATGATACCAATAGTCCGAAGGATTCGAGAATGCATGATTAGCCTAATAATTTGCATAGTGGTTCCTTTTTTTGTAAATATGTTGAATCTAAACATTCTAATTTCTAATTAACCAATATTTTATAACTTAAACCAGGTTGAAGTTAACGTTGACATGAATTATCTCATTGTGAATCACTTTGTTCAAAACTTCAATAGCAAGAATATTATCCATTTCAAAAATAACTTTGTGTGCTCCTAGATTCTATGTCATCTCAAGGCGATAAATGGCACCCCAAAGCTCAGCCTATAAGACTGAACAGGTTTTAATATTTCTACCGAAGCCCCCTAACCAATTACCATTAACGTCCCTACCAGTACCACCCGCACATGTCAGGTTGATGTTAGCTCGAAATGCCTTGTCTGTATTAATTTTAATCTAATATTGAGTTGGTGTTTTCTAACCAATAAGCTTCTCTATATTTCTGCAGGGCTAGTCATTGATCGTTACAGCAATGGGCATTACTTTAAAAGTGTAGTCCGTCATTTTGAATATAGCTTGCTTTATCTCATCAACACTGAGCGGATTACCTCAAAAAATAAAACAATTTATTTGATTACATAGCGACCAGTAAATAATTTCAAATATAATTTTTCAATCTCTGAAAGTCGAGTACCATTGCCATTTGTTCCGCAAGTTGCCATTCATCAAAACTTAAGTTAAAAAAGTTATGTTTCTCATCATGTGGAATAATGTTCATCCAGAGACTTCTTGCTTGATGACATTCTTTTAACACATGATTAATATCTTCAATTCATAGACCACAGGCCTCGCAACCCAAGATCTTCAGTCATATGTCTTTTAGCATGTTTGTCGTTCGTGAGTAAACTCTTTTATAAGACTAACCAAAGGAAATGTTGGATTCTTTGAGCACCTGGCCACTTTCAAGCTAAATCCCATTTTCCATATGGATCAAAAAAATCATTGCTAATAAGTATAATGTATACATAATTTACCGTAAACTTATCACTTGAGGACAGGCCCCAGTAAGGTTCATCAGCCCCCATTTCTCTATGCAGAACCATTACAGCTGTCAATTGAAGAATGATGTTTACAAGAAACATATTTTGCAACAAGTTTCGATTCCACTAGCCCACTGGAGTAACAAATCCCTTGACATGTTTAGATAGATTAGGCTCTTCAACAGGTTGGAAGGTAAGTAATTTAAGGGGACCACAATCACCCAACCAGTTATCTTTCTAAAATTTCACATTGCTTCCATCACCTATATTCCAATGAACTCCTTTCTTAACTCATTCTAAAGATAATTAAAGTTTCTCCATAGATGTGAGCAAACCTTCAAATTAGTCTTATTTCTATAAGGATTCTCCCAACTATATTTATGCCTTAAATTTTGGATCCAAAGAAGATGAGGCTTGGTGATAATAGCAAACTCTGCATTCATAAGAAAGACTTTATTGAAATCTTTGAGGCTAAGAATACCTCCTTTACCATAGGTACAAATACTATTTCAACAAGCCAGTTATATGAAGAGGTTGCTCGTATGAATTTCGATTCACATCAAGAAACAAGAGCTTTTATGCTTCTTATGGACAAATTAAACATGACTAAAGCTTTAATGACTTGCATTCTTGAGCGGTACAGTTTTTTCATGGATAATTTGCTTTATTAATAAGATAGTGACACAATTTTTATGATATCATTTGATATGTATTATTGCGTGAATATCTAATTAAATTAAAAAATAAGAATAATATATATAAATAAATATAAAAAAAAAAATTATATTAAAAAAATACTAATAAGGAATTAACTACTAAAATATAAAGAGAAATAACTTACACAATAGAAATAGAAGCGCTTGGTGATATTAATATATATAAAAAAGTCACAAAGTTAAATATAAAAAATTAAAAATAAAATATGTTGGTATTATTATTTTTTAGTAAAAATTAATTAATAATTATATTACATTATACATTAATAATACCATAATTTACAAATATAAAATAAGATCAAACTTTTAAAAATAACGCTTGGAAATATACAACCCAACTCATCCCAGAGCATGAGTAAGAAACTCTAACTGTGCAGCCAAGAAATTTGGTAAATCTATTAGCGTTATTTGAAAATAAAAGGTTAGTAGGTAACTGTTAGGACTTAGGTTAGTAGGCTCTGATTCCCGCCCTATAAATTCATATTCCCTTACACATAAATAATCTTCATTGACAAAATTCAAATCTCTGGCTCTCTCTCTCGGAGACACGCCAAACACTCTTTTTCTCGTGTGAATTTTTCTGCCATAGCCAACATGATTGCTACTCTCAAGTCAGCTATTGTTCTTCCTTTCCTTCTGAAAATTATTTGTATTATATCGCATAGAGTAACCTTGTTGATTTCTCATTTTCCCTGTTTGATTGAGGTCAGAGCCGAAGAATCAAACCAGCTACAGCTCATTGAACGAGGAGACATCGATGACGAAGACGACTTTTTTGAAGCCATTGACAAATGTAACCTCTGCGACTCTTCAATTCTCGCCTTGTTTCCTTTATAACTCTCAATCTCTACATATTCTTTTTCTAAAGCGTTCAATGAATATTGAAGTTGTTCGCTCGTTTTAACGATTTTATTAGTAATGTTGAAATTTAAGTACGATTTCTCTCTTTGTTTACTGTTATCGTGATTAATGCTGAGAGTAGATTTGATTTTTTTCCTGACTTTATCTTGTTATGTTTGTCAATAGGATCATAATTTTTTTTAAATGTTGAATGAATCTGTCTAGGTTTGGAATGTATCCAATAAATTTATCGTTGTTTCAGTTCGTTTTGACATCTTTCGAATAACATGTTTATTACGTATTTATTTTATTTGCTCCAATTTTGCGCATCCGGTGTGGATTTTCGTTTCGGGTACCGAGCCATGAATTTTGAGTACTTTCCCTCTAACTGTCGAGCATCTTCTGCTTCTGTTTCACATCCAAGCACTGCCAGCGAACTTCACTTCATTGTTGATGATGTTCACCTCATATTTGAAATTTGCGTTACACTTTGGTACATTTACACCAGAAGTCTTCATTCAGTACCATTTTACGCTGATGTTGAATACTGCCTTCCTGTTTGCCATGCATCTAGGAATTTCACTTTGATTAATCGGATAGACGTTCATTTCACGTTTTAAGTTGTTTCTTGATCGACTTGTTTGCGTTATTCATATCTTTTCCAGTGATCTCGCAAGGAATCAATGCTGGAGACGTGAAGAAGCTTCAAGATGCAGGGATATATACCTGTAATGGCTTGATGATGCACACAAAGAAGGTATAGGGATTTTCAATTAATTCGTTAAATATCTGAGACGATTTTCACTATATGCTAACTATCATACTGCCTGGTCCGATGCTGTCTGTTTTCAGCACTTGACGGGTATAAAAGGGTTATCAGAAGCTAAAGTGGACAAGATCTGTGAAGCTGCAGAGAAGATAGTGGTTAGTGCTTAATTTAAAATTTAAGTGATATATAGTTTTCTCGTATTGGTTTTTTGCTTCTCATTCCCGTGCTTCCCTCATTTTTATACGGCTTTTCCTTGCATCATTTCCCAGAGTTCCGGTTATATCACTGGGAGTGATGCTCTGCTCAAAGTAAGTCCTAAGTTTTCAATTTAGATATCAACGTGGATAATTTGAAAACTAATTATCGTTTTTACATACAGAGAAAGTCTGTCGTTCGCATCACTACTGGGAGTCAGGCTCTTGACGAACTCCTAGGCGGTACTCATTCCTCCCGTTACTGTTTGATACAATTGCATTAGCATTTTGTAATATTTATTCTGATTTTTGACTTCTCTATACTTGAAAAGGTGGGATTGAAACTCTTTGTATAACTGAAGCTTTTGGCGAGTTTCGGTGAGAAAGAGAGCACATTATGCAATAAATTTTCTTTCCCCCTGTATTTGAGTGACGTGTAGCTTTTCAACTTCATAACATAAATTTGTTTTAGGTCTGGGAAAACGCAGCTCGCGCATACTTTATGTGTTTCGACACAGGTTTGTTCCTCTCTTTGGTAAAGAGTTCAAAGTGTAAACTTCCGCTTGTGATGCATGGGACTTGCATAATTGGCCCTTCCATTGTTTTCTTTAAATGGCTGTACATCTGGGGACCAAGTGGTCGCATACTTTTCAGAGTTTGCCAGGAAAAATTGAATGCCGATTCTTTGAGCCCTGTATTTTTTAGGCTAGAATTGTGAAGGCAGGACTATGACTCACTATTACTTTCCAAGCACACTTAAGAGCTGTGAACTAAATGAGTACCACTAGTTGTTGATCACTGCATCTGAAAATGAATACTGGCATAAAAATTGGCTTCCCAAAAAAAATAAAAGCAGCTTATATTGATCCAAGATAACTGTCAGTAGCGGCTCCCTGATTGCATGTTGTGGGTACTCTGCAGCTTCCTATAAACATGCGTGGCGGGAACGGAAAAGTTGCTTATATTGATACTGAAGGAACTTTGTATCCTTTACATCCGTCACTGCAGTATATCTTAAGCAGCCTTGGTTACTGTTCCGGTTTGATAAGTAATTGAATGTACCTTCATCATGTTTTCTTCTTAATTACATGGATTTGCAGTCGGCCTGATCGAATTGTGCCAATAGCAGAAAGATTTGGTATGGATCCAGTGGCTGTTCTTGATAATGTAAGAACTACAAATTCCTTGTTCATTTAACTGGGGATGTAGGTGGCTAAACTATTTCCTTTCTGTGAATTTGAAAGATCATTTATGCTCGTGCTTACACTTACGAGCATCAATATAACCTGCTTCTTGGACTGGCGGCAAAAATGTCTGAAGAGCCCTTCAGACTTCTGGTGAGAGCTTTTACTATTAGATTACACCATGATGCCAAGTTCATGAGGTGGTGGTTTATGTTTTTGGTACATTACTTATGAAGATTGTAGATTCAGTGATTGCTTTGTTTAGAGTGGACTTCACTGGAAGAGGAGAACTTGCAGAGCGCCAGGTAACTCCGTAGATCTTAAGATGACTATATTATTAAGAAGTCAAGTAAACTGTATTTCTCTCACATAAGCCCAATGCCGTTTGCAGCAAAAATTGGCACAAATGCTTTCCCGATTGACTAAGATAGCTGAGGAATTTAATGTTGCTGTCTACATGACCAACCAGGGTAAATCTTGACATGTTAGGAGATGTCTTTACAGGCTGATTTTTCTTGCTTCTTTACCTCGGCCAATACTAGAGATACCCTATTGTACGCAAAGCTGAAAGAGTAAAGCTCAATTTGGATTGAACTATGTTCTATGGTTAATAGAATTAGGTTTCTTAAAATCACTACTACTCACAATCTACAGTTTTGGAGAGAATCAAACATTTCTTGGTTCACTTGCCTGAAATTCAGTAAGTATCCCATTCTGATGGACTCATAGTGCCAAACTAACACTATTGTTGGTTGCAGTCATAGCAGACCCAGGTGGTGGGGTGTTTATATCAGACCCAAAGAAACCAGCAGGAGGCCATGTGCTTGCCCACGCAGCGACTGTGAGGTTGATGTTCAGGAAAGGCAAAGGTGAGCAGCGTGTCTGCAAGGTGTTCGATGCTCCAAACCTACCTGAGGCTGAAGCAATATCCTTACCCTCATCATGCTAATTTGGATTTTCTGGCTCTCTAGCTTCATCTTTAATCATTCACAAACTCAACCTAACCAGGAATTTAATCATTACAGAAATTATGGCACTAACCTTAGATGTTTGAACACCACCATCCAAGTTCTCCATGCAGACATGATTTTCAGAGCAAAGACTAGAATTGAATCCCCAATTTTTCCAGTTGATTTTTTTTCTCTTAACATGAGCACGTATTTCAGATAACACCAGGAGGCATTGCAGATGTGAAAGACTAGCCAGAAGCAAAGGTTCAGGGGCCTGAGTCTCAAGATCAGAAAATGGTAGTGGACTATCTTGTTTACCTGCTATTTAG